ATATGTTTTGATTAGCAAATTTTATTTAAACAAAATTACGGCTAATTTAAGGGTAAGAATATAAAAAATCATTTGTTTATTTCTTTTGAAAACATTTTTTCTAACCATCAAATCGGGCAGTTTCAATTGAAAGAATAAAGTTGCGGCTGATTCAATTGTTTTGTTTGACAATTATTTATAACGAAAAATACTACACGAGTCTAATTTTGAAACGATCAAAATTTTTATGGTCTTTGTTTAAATCAGAGATTTGAAATAACAATAATCTCCATATTTAAATTGCTTTAATTTTAAAACGTGATGTATACAAGATTTAGATAGATTTATCACATATCATCCTCTAAATTAATGTTTTTTTTTTTTAATTTCAAAATGCAAAATCAAATTTTTTATGGTATTTGTTTAAATCAGAGATTCAAAATATCTTAATCTCCATATTTAAATTGCTTTAATTGTAAAACGTGATGCATACAAGATCTAGATAGATTTATCACATATCTACCCTAAATTAATGATTTTATTTTTTTTTAAGTTTCAAAATACCAAATCCTAAAGTTGCGGCTGATTTAATTATTAAAATATATTTTGCACCATAGATTCGGGTTATCTTCAAATTCAAAATTTAAATTGTCGATATGTAGACAAATTTGAACAGATTAAATAAATATGATCCCTAAAATGAAGGAATTTATTCCATTAAAAAACATAAAATATGAACTTAAGATGTAGATTTTATTATGCATGTGTGATAATACAATTCTACATGCTATGAAAGTCATATTGTTTACCCGTGCATCGCACGGGCTACGCACTAGTTATCCTTGACATCAATAACAACCAAAAAAAAAAGAGCAAAAATAACTACTTTTGAAGAATAAAAATATTTTTCAAATACAAAAAGATCTTTAAAAACATAGATTTGAACTGGAAGGATAATTCTCTTTTTCAAAAAGTACAAATGAACAAAATTTTAACTATGCAATAACTATCATATAATGTCATTTTCTATTGATTTTTTCGAGCCTTTAAGGAAAATGCTATAGTCAAATTTGAACATCGTTCAAAATGTTTGACTAAAAAACTAAAATGGTTGTTAAAGTCTACATCCACAAATCAATATCATTTTAGGATAGATTTGTAATTACTTTTTATTTTATACTATTTTGAAATTATATCATATAATACTCTTAAAGTATGGCTAATTGCTTTTTTAACTATTTTTAATTTTTTTTGTAAGAATATTAATTTATACACATTATAAACTCCTATTGTTAATTTGAAATGTACCTTCATGACATTAAATATCATGCCTCGTATAAATATATTTCGGTAATTCAAATTGTTCATGAAATAACTCTTGCAATGAAGATAAATTATAAATGATGTCAAGAAAATTATATTTATAAATGAAAGTCCATGTTTTTTCAAAGAGCGCAATATATGATTATCTATACTATTTGGTACTTACATTGCTTATGTCTTGCACAGTCGTCAAAAGACGTCACAACAAAATTCTGAGTGAATCCTTGCACTTTCATGTATATTAGTTGCATACCACATAAAGATAATCGATATAATATATTAACTTAATTTAACTCATGTCATATGGGTTGAAAAATTATACTAATACATTTATGCATGTGTGTGTGTGTGTAAATATTCCAATCAGTAATGATATAGAATATCATACTAGACCAGTTTTACCCAAGAAACCGGTCCTACGAGACCAACTGTGCTCGCAGACCGAATATTAATACGGAATAAACCTGCACATGTACTAGGACAAATGTCATACTTGTATTGCGCAAGCCAAGCTTGGGCACCAAGATACACTTCCCCTATTAAAGGGGCCTAAGGTACCACAAACTCATTCTCTCTACATTCACTAATATACTTCCATATTGCACTTCATCTCTGGCAAGTGCTGACTTAGGCATCGGAGGCTCGACGCCGGGATCCCTCCCGGCATTGAGTTTTTGCAGGTCTTTCTACCGGAGGGATGCCGATTTAGGCCAATTCAGATCAATCCAGGTTGCTTTCTACCATTTTGATAGTTAGAACATTATCATTGGCACCGTCTATAGGACACGTTCAAGAGGCCAAGAAAATCATCCATGTCGAACGGAATTCTTACCAAATAATCCAAAAAAATTGCAGCATTTTTTCTTCACCTCCGTCGCCCGCCGCCACCTCCGCCGTCGTTGGCCGCCACCTCCACTGCCGGCCGTTGGCCAAAGTGCTCTGATCGGACAAATTTTTACATCACCAGGTAGATCTCGTCGGCGTGGTTCTCCCCTAAAAATTTCAAGCCAAAGCTCCAGCGGGAAGACCTCCAATTGCGTCGGTCAAACATTTTAGACGATTATCATTTTTTCGACGATTAACGGCGGTTACCAAAAATCCGACCTTCAAATTCATTTTTTCGATGATTCACGGCGGTTACCAAAAATCCGAGAGCACCATCAGAATCCTCTCTCCGAGGCTAACCTTCAGCAGGTCACCTATGCCGCCACCTTTGTCGCCACCTGCCGGCCAAAGTGCTCCAATCAGAATTTTTGTTACATCACGAAACTCTTCTCATGCTCATTCCTCCTAACATTTCAAGCAAAAATTCCATCGAGAAGGTCGTCAATTTTTTCGGTCAACGATTCTAGATCTAAGAAATTTTGGTCAATTTTCGGTCTTCTTAGATCTAGAATTTTGTCGGTGAAATGTTATGGATGTTCGACTAGCGTGGAGTTTTCTTTGGATTGATTATTCATAATTTTTTAAGCATGTCATTGCTCGAGCATGTCTTAAGCCAAGGAGATTATGGTGTTTGTATTTCATCTCTCATTTTTCTTGCTTGGAGAATTGCAAAATAGATGACGTGAATATAATGTTGCTAATGATATCTCTTTGAATTCTTGTCAAGGAAAATTTGTGAGCATTGGGACCGGACATTTATATAAGCTCTTTGGCAAGGTAATTCGGTCCTCGATGAATGGTGTATACAAATAAGGAGGATACGTTGGGTGATGTGAGTTCCAGAGACCTACGTGGACAATTCATGCAGGAACAATGAAATGACTCAGGTCTTGACAAGTTATTGTGGACGAGTCGTTGAGTTTCGAGGACAACGAACGAGCATGAATCCATCAAAGCGTGGTGATAGTAGGGGACGTGTTTTGATGGTAACGATTGCTGGTGGTATTCTCAAAGGCATAAATCATTCTCTTTTAGAGAGGTAGGATAATTTCGAGTGGTATTCTTAACATTGAGGTATATAAATTAATCCCAACTCTTGCCGGCGGTCAAGTTTGATTGACACGATTTATTTGACACATGAGCCTCTTAGCATTCTTTTTCGCAAAAATGTTCATTGTTTGAATATTTTGGGTGAAATGTTACTGAGATTGTGGTGTATATGGATATGTTTGGAATTATTATTTAGATGATTAACAAAATGCTAAAAATGAGGTGTACGTGGAACCTTGAATAAAAAACTAGCATGACTAAGGCCTTCGGACTGGCCAGTCTCGACCCCAACCGGTGGGCCAGGCCAACAAAAAATCTGGTTCGATGTAATTGTGCATTCAGTGAGCGCATCGCGGTCCTATTCACCGGAGAGGAGTCCAGATCATAGGCTCACTCAACATCAGCATATGCACTCTGAGCTGCAGAAAGGCGCTGGGAAATGTCTCCAAAAACATCCCAATTCCACTGTTTCAACTTCTCGCAGCCTCTCGAGCTTGGCCTCCAGGTTGCGCATCTCGAAGAGCCCAGTCGATTGCAGCCAAGAATCCCTAACAGTGTTGTTGATACTCAATTTGGCCTCGATTAATAAAAATGCTAGACGTGGATATGTATTAAATAAATATAAATATAGCAGGTTCTCTAAGCTGATTATTTAATATCGACCGAGTTCTCAAGTGCCCAGATGATCTACATTCGAGCCGAGCATAATTAATATCATTAGTCCGAGCCGAATATTGAGAAGGTCCGTCTCCGGCGACACAATAATTATCGATGAAGTAGGCGTCAATCGAAGCCGTCAAATGTCACAATCGGACCCCACGATGTCATCTCACATTAAATATTAATGTCCCCTTTTATCTATTTTTTAATAGGCCACTTGTGTAAAAGGAAGGCATATATATATATGGGGGCATGAGAGAGAAAGAGGGGGGACTATTCATTCATCTCCTCTCTACAAAATTAATACAAAACATTCTTGATTTCTCCATCTTCAATGTACATACAAAGGTCATACACCGATTATTCACAGAATAGGGGTGTAATTTTACGTTGATACAATTCCGTTTATCAATATTTTGGCACTAGAAGCAGGGCTCCGTAATTTGCTCGGAGTCAATTTTCGCCGGAAAAAGGCCACATCTCTACTGAGAAAAGACATCCCCAAGCCTGAAAACGGCCATATATCTACCGGGAAGAGACCTCACTTAAGCCTGGTGGGATTATTCTTACTTTCACTCCAATTTTTCCTACACTCGTTACCCTGTCTTTTATGAATGTTCTTGTACAGCATATAGATACATTACAAATCTCATCTTAAAAGGATGAGCTGATAAAAAAAACCACAACATAATGATAATTAGACATATGAGTTTGCTGCGAAACGGAGAATCCCAAAAGTGAGCAAACATAAATTAAATTCAGAAAGTTTTGGGGATTGCGTGGGCTCGTGCAATATTATCATCCGTTTTGAGTTGAAACACTATATGTGGCAGAAGAAATATGTCTGAATCTCAAACAAAAAAAAAAAAGAAAAAATGAAGATCTGCAAGTTTAGAAGTTAAGTGAATTCGGGGCCATCGTCGATCTCGAAACCTCAGCCCATCGGCTCCAGACTTCACCTCAGTCAGCTCCAAAACTGAAGTCCAGGGCCACTCCAAGCCCGAAACTGCTCGATGACTACACAACTATATGTCGGCTGACTTCCAATCCGGCGACCTTACCTCCAAGCTCGACCGATTTCTCAACTTTCCAACTGCCGAGCTATGTGGTCACAGTCCTACCGACTTCACCTCAAAGCCGGGCCGAGGTCAGCAACACCGAGCCAGTCCTCAAGGTCGGGCCGACCTCCTCACCTTTCTCAATGTCACAACTTTCTAATAGCCGAGCTGCACAACCCGGACGGGATCCATCATCTTCCCCAATCTCCGACCCTGCCATCTCCGACTTCTAACCCTCGCCCGCCGGCTACCACCGATTTCACAGCCGAGTCCCCGATCTCACGAGCACCACGAAGTCTGACCTTGCTTTGCCTAAACCTCGAAACTCGATCTCCCTGTCGGGGCCCGACTTCACCGTCATACCTGCCGGGGCCGACCTCACCAGAAGCCATCGGAGCCCGACCACATCATAGACCGTGGGTCCGACTTCACCATAGATCGTGGGCCCGACCTCACCTCTCCAACCTCACAGTCACTAGAGATCGAACGTGCCATTTCCAACCTCCAAATCAGTCCAGTCGGCATCTCGGGCCGAGACCTTTGAGCTCGGGCCGACATCCTCATAACCGACCTCAATCATCGGACCTTCGAGTTGCTGCCAGTGCCGACCTTACCACGGTCGACTTCAAAATCGCAGCCCGAGGTCAATTGAAGCCAATCGATCTAGACCTTCTCCACCATCGGATCTCGGTGCAACCCGACTGGCACCCAAGCTCGACTTTTTCGACGGCCGAGTAACCATAACCGACTACCGACCACAACCCGGTCAAGTTCGAATTTCCGGAATTGCGACGGATCTCCAAAATTGATGTTGGGCCGACTTCTCACCCTCGCTCCCCGACCACCGCCGACTTCATATCCATCTCCGACCTGAAAATCTCAATTGTCGAAGTCGACTCGCCCTTCAAACACCAACTCAAGCCGCTTCACCATAACTAATGAATAGATCGAATCAAGGGCGGCGGACAATGCCTGATTTCAGGTCGCCCAGAGTTACTCCTGAAAATGCATCGTTTTCGTTCTTTACTCTGCGGATAAGTAAGGATTGAAAGGAGAGTAAGAAAAGAACTTGGGCCTAATGAGCCTATGAATTTTCTTTCCAAAGTATAAAGCCTTATGGCAAATAAGTGATTGTGAGGACCTAATTTGTTTTAGAAGATGTAAAAGTAGTAGCTGTGGGCCTTGAAAAGTTTTGTAATAGCTAGAGTTAGGCTGAGAGCAGCAAGGAAAAAAAGGAATCAAAATTTCGAAGTCGAAGAGCACAACTAGAACCTGAAGAATAGAGGCAGAAAAAGAGCCGACTTCTCTGGACTAATATTCTTAGGCCTATGCCCCACACCGGATTGAGATAATCCAACTCTCAATTGTATTTTATATATATATATATATATATATATATATATACATGTATATATATGTATACACATTAGAAATGAATATATATGTATACGTACAAAAAAAAGGGCCACTCGTGCCAAAAAGACGGCTGCCATACCGCGTTCTGCAAAAACTAGCTGCCACTAGTCGGCGTAAAAAACCGACGTTCTGAAAAAATTGGCCTTCGTGCCATTAGTCGGCGTAAAAAACGACGTTCTGGAAAAAACTGGTCCTCGTGCCGCTAGTCGGCGTAACAAACCGACGTTCTACAAAAAACAACCTTCATGCCAACAAGACGGCTACCGCACCGCATTCTGCAAAAACGGCCACTCGTGCCAACAAGTCGGTTACCACACCGAATTTCGCAAACCAACCGCAACCGGCCAGACCACTCCGTCATTCGACTCGATCCACCGAGCCAATATCAAACCACCGACCTCGTGATTGACGGGCCGACTCATTGGTTGACCTCACAAGGGTCGACCACAAAATTGCTTGACGGACGACCAACCTCAAAGATTACCGAGTCCATGATCACGGTCGAGCCTGAAATTGTTGCCTAATCATGGACGACCTAGCTGATCACCGCCAAAAACCGGCCGACCTCCATAGACAGGCCGACTTCACCGCCCGATCGACTTCAAAACTTGTTCGACTACTCAAGATGGGGATAACTTCATAATTGAGCCCAGACTTCCAACCGGGGCCCGACCTCGCGACTAGAGGAGTAGAATCTGACCTCATGAATCGTCCAGTCAACTAGACCACCTAAGTCGCTGCGCTGGCACCCTCATCTAGCCGTTTCCTGAACCACTTGGCAGACTTCTTTCCGGGCTAATTTATTTTTCTCCCACTGACGAGTCCCGTTTCATTTACTCCAGGTTGGTTGATCATTTGCTCGCTGACGTGACCAGCTCTCCTAGATCGAGTTATTATCCATCCGCAGACAAGCCCAGTTCCACTGGACCGGTTCATTATTCGCTCGCCTCCGACCTCACTTATCTACGGCGGGGCCGGAATCACTTATCTATGATGGGGCCAAGACTATTTATCAATAACGGGGCCGAAATTATTTATCAATACCGGGGCCGAGTTCATTTATCTACGCCAGAGCCGAAGTCACTTATCTATGCTGGGAGCTAGAACGACTTATTCATTCACGCCGTGACCAGTATTCTATTTGCGATGTCTATATTCCCTCGCCGTAGAGCTTCGACTCCGGCTGAGCCGGCGTCTATAATTTCTCGCCGTTGAGTTCGGACTCCGGCTGAGCCGACCCCTATATTTTCTCGCCGTAGAGCTTCGACTCCGGCTGAGCCGACGTCTATATTTTCTCGTCGTTGAGTTCCGACTCCGGCTGAGTCGACGCCTATATTTCCTTGCCGTAGAGCTTCGACTCCGGCTGAGCCGACATCTATATTTTCTCGCCGTTGAGCCTGACTCCGGCTGAGTCGACGTCTATATTTCCTCGCCATTGATCCCAACTCTAGCTGAGTTGACGTCCATGTTTTCCTCGTCGTTGAGCCCGACTCTGGCTGAGTTTACGTCTATATTTCCTCGCCGTGGAGCCTTTGCTCCGGCTGATCTGACGTATATATTTTTCTTGTCGTGGAGCCTTTGCTCCGGCTGAGCTGACGTATATATTTTCCTCGCCGTGGGCTTGCGCTCCAACTGAGACGACGTGCCCAATTCTTACACCAAATCCTGAAGTTGATTTGGTACGGCAAATGTGCATTGCACCAAATCCTGAAGTTGATTTGGTATGACCAATATTCCAGCAAGGCACAACACCTACCGGTAGACAAGAATGGTGGTCATAACTACCGACAAAAAGTCATACTCGACAAAATGTCGATGCAACATCAGTTACCGTACGTGCTCATTAAATATTTACACATTCATACATACATTTATCACATAAGTGCATCATACATTCATCTTGACATCAGTAAACAAGCCAAACACTTGAAAGTGATTGGTTCGGCCAATAGTGCCCAAAAAATTAACCAAACCCCCATAGTGGTTTGGGTCGGCTGAAATGCCCTAAAACTAAAAAGGCCCGACAGAGCCAACCATAAAAATGCATACAAAAAGTCTCATTGCAAAATCATTGCACGCGCTTCAAATTACGAAAAAGATTCATAAGGGCCCAAGCACCCTACGTATCAATCGACAGAGCCGTTAAGGCTCTTATCCGAAATTCGACTCTTTCGACGAGCATTATACCAAATGTCGGGCACTGCGTTACCCGACCAAGTAATGATTAAATAAAGATGAGACCAAAGACCAGATACCAAATTATCCGACCAAGTCTACATGGCGTAGAAAAATAATCAACGAAAATAAAAAATCGCGTCATCTCATTACGACAAAATCACGGGTACGATAATACGGTCAACTCAAAATCACCAAACGAATCACATCGGCAAACATCTTCGCGCATATCGATTACAATTCAAGGGGCCAGAGTGCCCACACAATTCAAATACCATTATCATCATTGCAAGAGCAAATCAATCAAACGTTTCACATTGCACGCGAAACGTAAAAATGGGTACCAAATTACCTGATTAAGCCTTTTAGGCCCCATTCAATAGCAATTCCAAAGAATTGTCATTCCATTTCACCGACTCAGCCCATCAAAGAGCATAAAACGCGAATAACGTACAAAACATCAGGTCAAAGCCTGAAAACGATCAACAAAACGTCCACGGGTCCTAAAGCACCCAAGCAACTTCGATAAGATATTTATCACAGCGTAAAGAGCCCCAAGCTCGGAAGAATCATAAACGAAAGTCTGCCAAATTTATAGCAAACGCGAATTCAGTACAGTTCTGTTCAGAACATGTCCTAAAGTCGGGGGCCTTCTGTTGATACTCAATTTGGCCTCGATTAATAGAAATGCTACACGTGGATATGTATTAAATAAATATAAATATAGCAGGTTCTCTGAGCTGATTATTTAATATCGACCGAGTTCTCAAGTGCCCAGATGATCTACGTTCGAGCCGAGCAGAATTAATATCATCAGTCCGACCCGAATATCGAGAAGGTCCGTCTCCGGCGACAGAATAATTGTCCATAAAGTAGGCATCAATCGAAGCCGTCAAGTGTCACGATCGGGCCTCACGATGTCATCTCCCATTAAATACTAATGTCCCCTTTTATTTATTTTTTAATAGGCCACTTGTGTAAAAAGAAGGCATGTATATATATGGGGACATGAGAGAGAAAAAGCGGGGACTATTCATTCATCTCTTCTCTACAAAATTAATACAAAACATTCTTGATTTCTCCATCTTCAATGTACATACAAAGGTCATACACCGATTATTCACAGAATAGGGGTGTAATTTTAGGTTGATACAATTCCGTTTATCAACAAGTGTCATGGAACATGTGGTGGCGAATCCACATGTTTCAAAATCAAAAAGAGGAGATACGAGGAGTGCTCGAGAAACTACACCGGATGAGAAGGGGGGGAGGGGGGCATGATCAAACTCAATTCGGTGAAGGTGTGTTATAGTCGTAACCGCAAATACCCTCGCCCATGCCTCAGGGACTTAGGCACAATCGAGCCTCTCTTTGTCTCCACCCTGCTCCCAAGTGAAGGGGGAACCTTCGAAACCAGCGTCAATTAACTCACCGTCTGCCACTGCCTAAGAGAAGTCCCAAATCTCCGCTGAACGATCCGACCAGCCACCAACGCACTCATCGGGATGCAAAAATATGTTGAAATCACTGCTTACCATCCACGGTGATCCCTCCATACTCTCAGCAATCTCACGCATGGTGTCCCACAGGTCATAGTGGGCTCCGGAAGATGGGCAACAGAAAGCTCGACGTGCAACACCTGCAGGGTATTGCAGATGACCCGACAAGTATAGTCACGCGAGTGAAAAAACCAGATCTTATTAGATATGTTTTCCACGCCAAAGTGGAAACAAAGACGACTTGAGTAAAAGTTAAAAAAAGGTGTGCGAGTCATCGGCTCGAGAAAAGCGGCGAAGTCAAACTTATGGTCACGGGCAAGGGAGTTAATATGAGCTAGAGTGGCCCAATTCACCAGGCCACCGGCGTTCCATGTTAGGGATTTGACCGACATATCAACTGTCGGATGTGCCACCCGGCTGGGTCCGCCTGTGGCTAGGCTGAATCAATCCACTTGCATGAGGTAACGTCCTGCTGGTCAAGCGCGTCTCACAGAGTACGGAACCTCTAGCTGGAGGGACTAGGAGGGGAAGAAACCCGTGGACTTGGCCTTTGGCCCATCCATAACTTCCCCCTTCGACCGATTAGGCTGTGAAACCTTCTCAACCTGAGTGGCAGTCCCAAAAGCAGCCTTACCCTTGTCCTTATGT